TGCTTTGCTCTGCTTTTTAAATGATATATATAACTAAATTATTGAACAATAACTCAGTACTACCCCCACCCTTCTTGCTTACACTTAGAGGAAGGACCTTGCATGCCATATGAGTATCCACAGTGGGCACCTATGATGGGCTAGAGACCTTGAATCCCAGGAGGAATTTGAGACCAGTACTTTTGGGCTTTCTATTCTGTTGTTCAAGGGCTCATATGTAGAAACTTGAATGATCTTCTTGCAAATTTAAATATATATTTCTCAAAGGACATGAGCTTGGATAGAAGTGGAAGCAAGGGAAACTGTCATTTGCAAGGACACAGAAAAACAAAATCAAACTCTGTAAAGAGAACAAAAATGAAATGGATTTACCCGAGATCATCTCCTTGGATACCACCAGTTCAGTTAGAGCCAAATTTCCAATGATGACTTCAAAGCACCAGATCATGTAATCTGTTATACAAGGATATAGAACACAAACAAACCCAAAATTAAAATGCTGAGCCTGCCACCTGAGGTCCTTTGGGTTTCCATTATCTCCATCAATTACCCTAACCTTCAACCAAAGTGGACTCCTCAAATTAGTCAAACAGATTCTGTACCATACTGCTTCTCTGCTGTTATTCAAACTCTTCTTTCCAACTGGAATTCCTGCATTCTCATTTACCATTTATTTACTCAGGAACTCAGGACATATATACTTGTTGCTTGATCTGTGCCAATATCTGTGCCTGTCTCAATTCTATAGCAGCTTCAAGAGTGAGGGTTAATGAGGGGGGGGCTGAGGACACATTTGTAATACCTTAATAATAATAAAAAAGGAAAAAAAAAGAAATAATAAGTAACAAACACAGTAAATAAATAAGTGCACCACATTACCATGACCTAGATACTCTAAAGATGAACCTTAGTGTCTACCCATGTATCCGTCCAGTTCCTTTTCTGTATGTGTACATACATGCATGGGCACACACACACTCCTGACTGCTGTGGCATGAAGGTTCACAGGTGCAACACTTCAAAAGAACAGGAGTCATAGTCCAAAAATTCCACAAAACCAAAAATTCTAGTCTCCTGGGGCAGTACCATCCCGCACCCTCACTGTCCTTGTATTCCTCCTTCCAAATTCCATCCCCGGGGCAAGTTCTTGGTTCATCATTGGGAGAATCTGCTCTTGAAATCTTTAAGGGTCTTGGCCATCATCAGTGGAATGTGCTCCCAGGCTTCTTGCTGCTGCTGACCATCTGTGCCATGTGGGCACTGGTGGTGCCTTTGCAGTCATAAGCCGGCTTCCCAGGGATGGGGTAAAAGCTATGGCCATGGGCACTGTTAGAGGAGCACGTATCCTTGTTGTGTGGTATGGGGGCTGACATGACCTTGACTTTTTCCTGGACAGCTGCTCCTCCTCTTTCAAATAAGGGGGGGAGATGGCCATTGTTTGTTAGCCCTTGGGCCTATTGGCACAGATCTTCAGTGTCAATGCTCGCAGCCACTTCTATCTGGCATACTGAAGCCTCATGTTTACCTCACACCATGACTCATGTTCTTCTGAACTTTCTAAAGTTGCAGTGACAATGCATCTTCCATAATTGATCTGTTTCTTCAGCTAGTGCACAAGTGTATTTCTCTAGGCGATGTAGCTGATCAGGTGTAGAACTCTCCAAAATGGATACAGGAAAAGAATATGAGACTCCTCTCCCTCAAAAGAGTAAGTTCACATTTTTTCTGGGACCTGGATACACTCCTGGCTCAAGGTCATCATTTTGCAGCAACAGGCCCACTTTGAACGATCCTAGAGTTCACTCTGAGTCCTGTAATCCCACCTTCTTCCTCTTCCTGAGGTGAAGCTAGTGTTCTTTGCTTCGGTTGGAAGGAGGACACCAATTCAAAGGCAGGAAGCAGATGATAAATCCTGCCTTAACTACTGGGCTGGACCCTGAATGATCAGAGGTCTGGCAACATGGGTGACACATCAGGAGGGACTTTTTTCAGCTTGGCCCCTTCTGCTCCAGATGGCTGTGGCTTCTCTGACTTGCCTCCATTTTCTACTTTTTTTTTTTTATCATAGTCATTCTAACAGATGTGAAGTCTATATCTCACTGTATCACTCACCCAAGGATATTTCTATTGATTTCAGAGAGGGAAGAAGGGAGAGAGAGAGACAGAAAGAGAAACATTGATGAGACAGATAAGCAGTGATCAGTTGCCTTCTGCCTGCACACACCCTAATGAATCTACCCTGAAACCTAGGTATAAACCTGGGATCAAAGCCACAGGCTTCCAGTGTACATGATGATGCTCCAACCAAAGAGCCACATGGGCAGAGCTCCCTGTGGTGCTGATTTGTATTTCCCTGATGGTTAGTGGTGTTGAACATCTTTTCATGTACCTGTTGGCCATCTGTAGGTTTTCTTTGGAAAAATGTCTATTCAGTTCTTCTACTCATTTTTAAATTAAACTTGCTTTTGTTCTTTCTTTCTGTTTTTTTATGATTTCTTTGTATATTTTGATATTAGTTTCTTATCAAATATATGATTTGAAAATATTTTCTCCCATTCAGTAGGTTGCCTTTTCATTTTTTTGATAGTTTATTTTGCTGTGCAGAAGCTTTTTAGCTTGATGTTGTCTCATTTATTCATTTGCCTTTGTTTTTGTTTTTAGATTCAAAATATTATCACCAAGCCCTGAGTTAAGGAGCTTACCACCTATGCTTCCATCTAAGCATTTCATGGCCAGGTCTTATGTTCTTCAAGTCTCTAATCCAATTTGACTTAATTTTTGCATATGATGTAAGGTAGTGGTCACCTTCCTTCCTTTTGTATGTAACAGTGTAACCCAACCCACATAATATGCTATTGCAGATAAGCAGTCTCTTAGCTTAACAACTGTAGAAGCTAAGGCCAAAACAAGCAGACTCTGACCGTTAGATATGACAGCTCTGGGATATTTGCTGACCTTCAACAGGTTATCTGAGCAAACCACCTTGGCTTGCACTTAGTCCCTTTCTCAGAGATCTCTGACCTCTCTTAATTATATTTCTTTGTTCTGTTTTATTTTCTTCCTCATTACAAAACCCCCTGCCTATGTCCAGTTGTTAGGATAGTCTTTGTAATGAGAGTTACCTGTCTTCTCAAGCAGCTGGCTCTTGAATAAAGCCTACTTTCCTGCCACCAGCCTCTGTCTCTTGATTATTGGCTTTCATGAAGCCAAACCTGGGTTTGGTATCAGAATTAGTGCGCCAGCCAGGAAGTCTTAAACCCCGACAAGTCTAGCCCTCTTCAGTCCACATGCTGCATGGGGCAGGCCAACCCCAGGTCAGAGACTCCAGGGACTTCCCAGCAGCTGCCTAGAGTTTCTTATTTCAAAGACTCTCCCTGATCACCCTCTCATAGCATCAGCTGCCTGCAAAAAATCTATTGGTGGAATAAATCGATCATTAAGGAAGTGGATGGGCTCCAAGCCTGGGTATGTGGAACAGGTGTGCACACCTGCAATGCTCTATCTCCTCCATTTGGGTTGTGTGACAGTCGAACCTTGTAAAAGTCATACTTGGTTTGCAAGAAATAAGATTCTAAGACTAGTGTCCCACACCCTCTTTCTGGAGGATTTGGCTTGAGAGTACTCGTTTATTTGAGTTCTATCTTTGTTTTGAACTTTGTTTCTGTTTTAAAATGGGTGGCTCAGTCTCAGTTCCACCAGAGAGTCTATTAGGCCTTTTCTAGCTGAGTCATCAACTTACAGCTATTAGCCAATGACTAATTAGAATTGTTTTGCCAAAGGTCTGGTAAATGGGATAGATTTTTTTTTATTCATAAGCTTTCATGTTACATAATAAATGTTCTATTCAAAAAGGATATACATTAATGATCCAAAGAGGGGAAAAATACCTCACTTGCTTCCCAAACAGTAAAACTCAGAAAGAAGAAAAAATAATAAAATGAGTCCTTCAAACACCCTAAATCCTCATCTTGGATCCCTGGGAGCTCTGATGTCCTGGGAACAACGGGAGAATTAATGCCACCCCCGAAACCTGTGCATACTATGAGGCAGGAGGGTGACTGCACCTCCTCAATGTGAAGGAAAAAACTGGCATTAAAAAAACTCAAGTCGCTGACGTCATACATGCTTGTTATTAGAATTCACAAGCCAACCTCTTTAAATGTTGTCAAGGACAATGAAAAGTCCTGTCTTCTCTACAATTATTGGTAACTTTTTTCTACTGCTCTCTTTGAACTAACAACCATAAAAAAGGCATACCCACTTGGATGTTACTCATTTACCAATCAGTAAGGAAAAGATACTGAAGCAGTAATCTTAAGCAATGTAAACACAAAATCTGTTGACCAACAAGGATTCCTTCACCCTAAGGACCTCAGTTACAGCTGGAGTCAGATAAAGTGCTTTTATCAGGTCTTTTGGTGTCCAGAGAGAGGAAAGGTAAGTGTGTGGCTGGGGCTGCAGCTTGTGCTGGCCATTGAGTAGCTTCTGTGCAATTCTGTCCTTCTTGCCACCAGGCACTGGCCAGTGGGTGTGCAGTTCCCACTTTTGCTTCATTTGGCCCTTGCATTGTCAGCCCCACATGTTGCACAGGTAGTAGTGATAGAGGCAGTCTTAGAGCTTCTCCTCCGAGCTCACCAAGGACACACCGCAGGTGTCAAGTACAGATCACAGTGAGTAACAAATTGATGATTTCATAGTCGGTACTGGAGACACTTATTTGGTGCTAAATACAAAAATGGCCAAAAGAGTGAGGCAACCATTTCAGTAGCAGGAGTTACCACACAGATGGAACAAACAGCCTTTCTCTACCTTCTCAGTGTTTATATTTTAAGAGACATTTTCTTATCCCAGATATGGCTTTGAGTTATTCCAAGGAGACCCTTGTAATGCCAGAAGGATTTGTTTTCTCTCCTTATAAAAGAGAAATTTAAAACAAACTAGGCCGATTTGACATACAGTCCAAACCTCAGTTCCCAGACTTCTCCCATCTCAAACCATTCAGTTCTCAACCAAGTTGTTCACAGAAGAAATGTCTGGGTTGTCCATGAAAACTTCATTTTTAGACCTGACAACCCTGTAATGCTGATACCTCACCATAACAAAAAACTTCTCTCAGGTAACAAAGAAAAGAATGCTTTTGTTAATGTTGAAATAAGATTAGCACAATTTAAAAACAAAGAGTCCATCAAGAGTGCTAATGTTAGTAAGGGTCTAAAAATACTCACAAAACAACAATCACAGGCAATTGAATAGGTGGAAAAACTGTTATTTATTTGGATAAAGGAAAAGCAGTTAGCAGGTGACAGCATTTCAGAGGCAGTGATATATGAAAAATTCTTTTGAGGCAAGTAGGGGGTGGTGCCATAAATTTTGAAAAATTGTTTATTTACAGATGAAACAGTGCAATAGACATGCACTGTATATAAGAAATGGTTAAACAAGGAATCATTTGGGGGTCTGGAACATATTAATTCAATTTACATTATTTCTAATGGGATAAAGGTTTTGGTTTTTGAACAGACTGGTTCCAATGTAATTGAAGTGCATAAGAAACTTCATCCAATAAAGAATAACTAGAGGTTTGGAGAGAAACCAAACCTGTCTTACTGTGAGTTCTGTTTCAGAAAGAATCATAAGCTTCTTTCTGTGGTTTTCACTCTGATTATTGAGCCTTTTCTAACTTTTATTAAATGTTTAGGCTAAACTCTTTTGTGTTTGGGGAAAAGGAGGGTTATATATCCTATTGGGGGCAAAATGGTAGGGGCATGGCAAAGCCAATTTCAAGATGGCAGAGTATATAACAATAGCAAATGACCGCCAGGACATGCTGGTAGAACATGGAGATGTGCTTTTTGAAGTTCTATAAATTATTGGGGTGGGAGAATCCAGTAGAAAAAGAGTTAACTTCAAGTATTGTTATCTTTATATTAAATACTAGAGGCCTGGTGCACAAAAATTTGTGCACTTGGGGGGTGGTCCCTCAGCCCAGCCTGTGCCTTCTCACAGTCTGGGACCCCACAGGGCATGTCCACCTGCTGGCTTAGTCCTGCTCCCTGGGGTATTGGGCCTAAGCTGGCAATCAGACATCCCTCTGGCAGCCTGGGAGCCCTTGGGGGATGTATACTTGCCAGCGGGGAGCAGGCCTAAGCTGCAGTAGGACATCCTTAGCACTGCTGAGGAGGCAGAAGAGACTCCCGCCACCACCGCTGTGCTGGCAGCCATCAGCCTGGCTTGTGGCTGAGCAGAGCTCCCCCTATGGGAGTGCACTGACCACCAGGGGACAGCGCCTGCATTGAGCGTCTGCCCCTGGTGGTCAGTGTATGTCATAGTGACCAGTCATTCCCAGTCATTCTGCTGTTAGGGTCAATTTGCATATTACCCTTTTATTATATAAGATAGAGGCCTGGTGCATGGGTGGGGGCCAGCTGGATTGCCCCAAAGGGTGTCCCTGATCAGGATGGGTGTCCCGCTGGGGTACCTGGCCTGGGTGAGGGGCTGATGGGTGTTTGCAGCTTGTCACACCCCCTTCAGAGTGGGGGTCCCCACTGGGGTGCTTGGCCAGACTGGGTAAGAAGCTGATGAGTGTTTGCAGGTTGGTCACACTCCCTTCATGGTGGGGGTCCCCAGTGGGGTACCTGTCCAGCCTGGATGAGGTTCTGAGGGCTGTTTTCAGGCTGGCCAAGGCCCCTGTCTATGGAAGCTCCCAGCCTCTCCTGTTTTTCTTTTTTTTAAATTCTGAGATTTATTTACCTTCTGTAATTGAAACTTTGTAGCCTTGAGAGGAGCTCAGAGCCAGCCAAGGTGGGCGGAAGTGAAGCTTGGCTTCCTCCATCGCCAGTGGCAACCCAAGCCTCCTGCTTGGCTGAGAGCAGGTATCTGGGGTTTATTTATCTTCTATAATTGAAACTTTGTTGCCTTCAGTGGAGTTCAGAGCCTGCCACAGCAGGCAGGAATCTTGGCTTCCTCCCATCACTGGGGCAACCAAACCTCCTGCTCACTCCAGCTCCATGGCTGCCGGCTGCCATCTTGGTTGGGTTAATTTGCATATAGTCTCTCTGATTGGCTGGTGGGCATGGTTTAAGGTGTAGTGAAGGTAAGGTCAATTTGCATCTTTGTCTTTTATTAGTGTAGATAATTATATTTTATTTGTATATGTATAGTTTTAATATTAAAGTGAATGTTTTAGAAATTATATAATTGTTATCTTAAAATGCTCCAAAAGGAGTTTAGAAACAGGGAAGGCAGTTTTAGGGAAGGGGGTCATGGGAGAGGAAGACACATGTAATGGGCAGAGATAGCTCCAAGCTACCACAATTTTTATCTCATATACACAGAGTATGGAGGAATGTAATAGGATAAGGGGAAAAAGAAATAGAAGGGGGCACCCAGTGGGCTTTGAAACTTGGGACTAATACCACGTAATTAAAAGCGGGGGGAGAGCCAATTAGAAGAGCACAGGTAACATAAAATGGAGAAGGGGTCCAATTAGAAGGTAGCATATATAAACAAAGAGCTGCCAGCATTTATAAACCTTTAGACCAGCGGTTCTCAATCTGTGGGTCGCGACCCCTTTGGGGATTGAACAACCCCTTCACAGGGATCGCCTAAGACCATCAGAAAACACATATATAATTACATATTGTTTTTGTGATTAATCACTATGCTTTAATTATGTTTAATTTGTAACAATGAAATTGGGGGTCACCACAACATGAGGAACTCTATTAAAGTATTGCAGCATTAGGAAGGTGGAGAACAACTGCTTTAGACAAAGAGGCTTCACTGCTTACCCACTTGGGAACCACTCCTAACACGGGAGTTTGATATGCTTCCAATAAATTTTCACACTTTTATTTTTAAAAGAAGCCTTTTAGTTCGTGACTTTATTCTTCAAACTTCATGAGGCAAGAACCTAGGAGGAAAGTCCTAGCTCGCCCAATTCTGCATTTCGATTTGCACACAACATGGGGCTACCATGAAGTATCATCTCTCCACACCAAGTAGTAAGTAATCAGACTCTGTGGCCTCCTCACTGTGCCCTTTGTAGTTTTGGAGATCTTGCAGGGGCCGCTGGCCACTTAATTTGCTGCAGCTGTTGCCTTAAGCAGGCAGTTCTCTTTCACCTTCCCTTGTTCAGCTGTTAACCCATTGATTGCTAGGTCACCTGCTTTGTCTTTATTGTCTATATAGTGGATTTAGAACTGTTATAAGGTCTTCTGCTTTGTTAAAAGTGTACTTTGAAACTGAATGTTTGAAATATGTTCCTAAGAATCAATCTAAGGGTGCTGGTTATTTGCTTTTCTTGGTAATTAGAAATGAAGACTTCTAAGAGTTATTAGTTAAAAATTATACAGTGGGATTACAGAAAGTATAAGGCATGGAGATGCATTGTGAAGGAAATAAAAAATGGGGTTAATTTTCAGTTTTACTAAAAAAAAGTACTTTTAGTCCTTCAAACTTCATGAGAGAAGAACCTGTGAGGAAAGTCCAAACTCACACAATTCTGTGTATCACTTTTACTAAAAAGCAAATTCATTGGTCAGTTCCATCATATTCAGATCTATAACCATGCCATTTTATTCATTTTCTCATTTAGAGGCACTTAATGTTCCACTCTGATGCATTTGCAAAGATGTTACATCTTCAAATATATCAATGGAACGGACTCTGACTTATTTTAAAATATGGACTCTGATAATAAATGTTAAAATTATATCTTTGAACTGGATGAAAATGTATACAACTCTAAGGAATAACTGGATTCGTAGACATACTGGCAAATAATCAGATAAATAAAAATTGATTATGGGATTGGATAAACAGAAGATAATTACTATTTTTATGACTTAAAATATTGCTGACTTCTAAATCATTTTGGTTTGTTTACCAGATATAATAAAACATACTTGTTTGTTTGCTTGTTTACAATTTAATGAATGATACCTTGATAAGCAATATTAGAACATTTAAATTTTTCTCCCTACTTATCCTTTTAGAATTTATAAATCCAATAAGAATCTGTTTTCTTTATAACAGGACACAGTTGTAAAGTGGTTTCATTAACCACGGCTTTGGCTGGAATGTCATGTTTGTGAGAAACATGCCCAGTATCTGGATGTCATCAGAAACCTTTAAGGATTTAGGATTGACTTTGAAGCCTATAAAAGACTTTTGAAAAGCAGCCTAGTACCTTGCCTATTCACATGGTTCATGGCATATTTTTCATGGAAGGAACAAAGGTTGCTTTCCTGAGATATGGCAAAGAAAGAACCTCAAGACATTTTGAGGGACTAAAAATATTAGAGGAATTTTCCAAAAAGTATGAGTATTGCCGGCAAAATGTGATGGCAACGATGTGACTTGGTTTCTTCTCCCAGAAAGGCTAACTAAAAGTCAATTTTCCTTATGAGGCTGCAACAAAGAAGATTCAGGAGAGCCTATACAGTCAATTGTGTAGATAGATCTTGTGTTTATGGAAATAATCGGGCCAAATTAAAACTACAGCAAATAGTCATAAGTTAGCTAACTTAAATGAGGGTGATTTTAAGGGGAGAAATTTTCTTTCAAAAGTATCTATAACACATTTTTGTGTATATCAGATTCCTGTTCAAATTATCTTGAAAGCTTTATTTCCACATATACATTGATTGGATCCTGAATTTTTCTAGTTTTCTTAAATATTTGGACTACAGCCCTCTAAACTAATGTTTTATTTTTCTCTCATCATTTGACTTGAAGTTACTGAAACCTAGAAATTTCCCCTGATCTTTGCAATTGCAAATTGCAGCTACAGTGCATGATATAAACTTGAAAATCACCACAACAGCATCTTTAACATCTCAGTGACTGATCCTGTATAAACTTTTCAGAATGTACCTGAGCACCTCATCGCATCACCAGAGACATTCAAACTGCAGATAAATTGTCAAATAAATTGTGAACGAGTGAGACATGTGATGCTGGGCTGATGTTTTGGCATTCACTGTGACGTTCGCTGCACCAACTAGCAGTGGAGTATCTGAAGCTGACTCATAACATGAATTTTAGCTCGCAACTCAAAGCAAAAAATCAGCTGAGAGACGCTTGTATCTTGAAAAACTCGTTAGTTGGGACACTAGTAAGTCAAGGCCCAACTGTATTGTGTTGAGGTATGATCCCTCTAGTCCCACTTTGCTGAGAGTTTTTATCAAGAAACGGTGTTGGATTTTGACAAATGCTTTTTCTGCATCAATTGATATGATTATGTGATTTTTATCTCTCAATTTGTTTATATGATGTATCATGTTTAATAATTTGTGGATATTGTACCAGCCTTGCATCCCCAGAATAAATCCCACTTGGTCATGGTGTATGATCTTTCTATTGTAATTCTGGATCTTATTCACTATAATTTTGGTGAGGATTTTAGCATCTTTGTTCATCTGGGGTATTGGCCTGTAATTCTTTTTTTTTTTTTTTTTGTAGTGCCTTTATCTGGTTGTAGGATAATCCTAGCTTTATAGAAAAGGCTTGAAAGTGTGCCTTCCTCTTGAATTTTGTGGAATATTCTGAGGAGAATATGTTTTAGTTGTTCTTTGAATGTTTGATAAAACTCCCCTATGAAGCCATATGGGACTGGGCTTTTAGTTGCTGGAAGTTGTTTTGATTACTGCTTCTGTTTCATCTGTAGTTATCAGCCTACTCAGAATTTTTTTTATTCTTCCTGATTGAGTTTTGGAAGCTTCTATTTTTTCTATTAATATGATATGTCCATTTCACTACATTGTCCACTTATTGGAATAGAGTTGTTTGTAGTATTTTTCACCAGGAAACTATTAGACTTAATAAATTAATTTGGCAAGGTAGCATGATACAGAATCAACATCCACAAATTGATAGCATTTGTATACATTAATAATAAACTTTCAGGGAGAGACACTAAACAAACAATACCATTTACCATTGCAACAACAAGAAAAAACATACCTAGGAATAAACTTAACCAATGATGTCAAAGACATGTACTTGGAAAAATATAGGACATTGAAATGGTGCAGCCACTGTAGAGAACAGTATGGAATTTCCTCAAAAAACTAAAAATGGAACTCACATTTGACCCAGTGATCCCACTTCTAGGTATATATCTCAAGAAACTAGAAACACCAATAAGAAAGGATATATGCACCCCTATGTTCATAGCTGCCCAATTAAACATAGCTAAGATCTGGAAACAGCCTAAGTGCCCATCAACAGATGAGTGGATTAAAAAACAATGATACATCTACACAATGGAATACTATGCTGTGATAAAAAAGAAGGAATTCTTACCATTTGCAACAGCATGGATGGAACTGGAGAGCATTATGCTAAGTGAAATAAGCCAGTCAGAGAAAGATAAATATCACATTATCTCACTCATTTATGAAATATAATGAACAACATAAACTGATGAACAAAAACAGATCCAGAGACAGAGAAGCATGGATCAGACCATCAAACCTCAGAGGGAAGGTAGGGGAGGGTGGGGGTAAGGGGGAGAAATCAACCAAAGGACTTGTATGCATGCATATAAGCCTAAGCAATGGACACAGACAACAGGGGAGTGCGGGGGGAAATGGGGGATAAGAACACATGTAATGCCTTAATCAATAAAAATATTTTAAAAAGTAATAGGGGCAGATACAAATAAATGGAAGCATATACAATGTTCATGGATTCAAAGAGTTAACATCATTAAAACGTCTATACTACCTAAAGCAATCTACATATTCAACACAATCCTTATTAAAATGCCAATGGAATACTTTACAAAGCTAGAAAAAATGCTCCAAAACTTTATATGAAACCATAAAAGACCCCAGATAGCTGAAACAATCTTGAGAAGGAAGAATCAAGTCAGAGTGATCACAATACCGCTATCAAACTATACTACAAAGCCATTAAAACCAATACAGTGTGGAACTGGCACAAGAGCAAGCTTATAAACCAATGGATCAGAACAAAGACCCAGAAATTGACCGTCATCATTACGGTCAATTAATATTTGACAAAGGAGGCAAGATCATATAATGGAGTAAAGACAGTCTCTCAACAAATGGTGCTGGGAATCAAAAACATGAAACTAGACCACCAACTTACACAATACAAAAGAATAAATTCAAGGTGGATAAAAGACTTAAATGTAAAGCAGGAAATCTTAAAAATCTCTGAGAATTTAGGCAGTAAATGTTAGACATCTCACATAGCAATATGTTTAGAGATAAATTTCTTAGGGCAGTGGTTAGCAAACTGCAGCTCGGTAGCCACATGTGGCTCTTTGGCCCCTTGTGTGTGGGCCTTCCACAAAATACCAACTTCTGCACATGGGCCACAAAGTTTCAATCGCACTGTATGTGCGTGCCCGCACGTGGTGTTTTGTGGAAGAGCCACACAAAGGATGTGGAGATAAGGGAACACGAGTTGGCTGCTAGTGGGAATGCAGATTGATGTAGCCACTATGGAAAGCAGAATGAAGTTTCCTAAAAAAATTTAAAATGGAACTTACATTTGACTCAGTGACACCATGATGGGAATACATCCTAAAAACCCCAAACACCAATCTGAAAAAATATATGCACCCCTATGTTCAAAGCAGCATCCTATCTAATAAAAGAGTGATATGCCAATTAAGCATCACTCTGTCACAAAGATGCCAGCGCCCTTAGTCACAGCCCTGCCGGGAGTCCTGCAGCCCCAGCCAGGGGGGCAGGTGCTGGGAGCAAACAGCTTCGGCCACCCCTCCGGGAGTCCTGCAGACTGGGCCTGGGGGACGGGCACTGAGAACAAGCAGCATGAGGAGAGGGGTCCCAGTGAGGAGAGGGCAACAGGATTGGGGTGGAGCCTTGGGACTCGGTTAGGAGGCACTGGGGCTCAGGTGGGGCTGGGAGTAGAGGTCTCTGGTCGCCGGCCTGACAGCAGGATGCACCCGCTATGCTCAAGGGCATCTGTGTCCAGTAGGAGATTCTGGCTACCAAGAACATGCAGAATGCTGAAGAATGGTTCAAGAACCGCTTCACTGTGCTAACCAAGAGCACTGCCAAGAACACTGAAGTGGTGTGTGCCGCCAAGGACAAGGTGTTAGAGAGCCGCTGCCTGCTCAAGGCCAAGACTCTGGAGATGCAAGCATGCCGGGGCATGAACGAAGTGCTGGAAAAGCAGCTCTGAGAGCTGCAGGATAAGCAGAATGCCAACATTAGTACTATGCAGGACACAATCAACAAATTAGAAAATGAGTTGAGAACTACAAAGAGTGAAATGGCATGATATTTAAAATACCAGGACCTCCTCAATGTGAAGATGGCTTTGGATGTTGACATTGCAGCTTACAGAAAACTCTTGGAAGGTGAGGAGACCCAGCTCAGTTTCACCAGGGTGGGAAGCATAGCCAGCGGCTACTCCCAGAGTTCCCAGGTCTTTGGCCAATCTGCCTATGGTGGTTTACAGACCAGATCCTACTTGATGTCTGCTTGCTCCTTCTTAATACACCAGCCATGTTCAGGAGGAGCAGGTTGAGGTGGAGGAGCCCATGAGGCTGCAAAAGCTGAGGAAGCTAAGGATGAACCCCCCTCTGAAGGAGAAACTGAAGAAGAGGAGAAGGAGAAGGAAGATGCTGAGGAAGAGGAAGGAGAGGGAGAGGAAGAAGGTGCCAAGGAAGAATTTGAGGATGCAAAGAAGGAATAAGGCGGTTGAGATGAAGGAGAAGATACTCAAGAAATTGAGGACAAGAAGAAAGATGAAGGTGCTGGGAAGAGCAAGCAACCAAGAAGAAAGATTGAGGCCCCCTTTCCTTAATTATTTCAGGAATAATCCTCCCAAAACCAGGTCAACCCCATCACCAACCAAGCAGTTGAGTTCCTGATATTACATGAATAAAGAAGTCAATATATGTAACATTAGGAGGTAACAGGTTGGAAATTAAATATTGTGCTATGACTTTTCTCCTTATGCAGAGTATCTGTTTGTTTGCAGAGTGGTTTCCTGGCTTGCTGCCAGCATGTGCATGGTCCATACTTATGAGTTCAGGATCTATGGCAATGTGAATGATTCAGATGTTTACAATAAAAACACATGAATATATGAGTTGACTAATGATAATGTTAAACTTCATGGAGAAAATAGTCCTTTCAATATTTAGTGGTTAGAAATTAAAGACTTCAATTCATGTACAATAAACCATAAATAAAGTTCCACAGAATGACAAAAAAAGAAAACAAACAAACAAAAAAACATCAGGGGCCAGTAAATGTTCAAAAAAACAAGGAAGCATTCCTAAATCAGGAAGAGAAGTCACAGGGTGTATATTATTGCTATGAATACAGTATTTCCTACTACATACCACATCTACAATGTAATTTATTAGATGCCTTCCTATCTCATGAAGTACATATTCTCATAGAGTAATACTGGTAGATATGCTATAGTTATGGCACTATGTCATATCCTATCAATACTAATAAAAGGGTAATATGCTAATTATACCGTGAGACTTTCCAGATGTCTTTCCGGACAAAGCCATGGTGGTGAGGCTGAGGCAGATGTGGTTAGGGCGATCATGCCAGGTAGA